GGGCCGCGACTGCGAGCGCTGCCGCCCCTTCCACTTCGACCGGCCCTGGGGCCGCGCCACCGCGCGTGACGCCCGCGAGTGCAAAGGTAAGGGAAGTCTTCATTCACCCGACGTAAACTTTACAATTAGACATCTTGGGAGTCATCAATGTCCAACTCCTACTATGGAGAGTGCTTGCAGCGCAAATGCGCCACCAGTGTGTGCGTGTGCGTGCGTGTGTGTGTGTGCGTGTGTGCTATGCCAGCACGGACTGCAGCCCCAAGAGTAAGGCCTTCTGTACAACGAGCGGCCTGTTCGTTCACCTCCACGGAGTCGCCTCTCTCGGCGGCTTCCCGCGCGCCCTCCGGCGCGGCTTGCTGGCTCGACGCGGTCCACACCGCGCGCTGACCCTCACGACGTCACCGCGTAGTTAACACCGTGTTGACTCTTGCGGGCGGACTGCTTGACTCACTGACTGGGGGGTTGACCGCGGACTGCTTTCTGCAGCTAGGGGACCCCTCTTCATACCGGGCGCCGCCATCGGCCCAGCCAAGCACTCCGCCTGGGCGCCGGTAGCGCGTGAGCGGCTGGCGCCGCTGAGCGAATGTGCGCTGTCTTAGGCCGTTAGCTGTCATGCCGTTTGCGCGCCAATTGGAAAGGTCTCGCAAAGACACCAGTTAGCTCCCACGTCGATGCGGTCTGTGGCGCAGAAATCGGCGTCGTGCTTCCTCAAGACAGCTCCACGCATTCGGCATTTGCCGTTTCCAGCGGCAGCTCGCCCAATCCCAAACAGCTGATGTGTTCGGCGAATGTTCGTTTGATGACCGCCACGCGGTCGGTAGGGCGGGCACCGAACGTTCGTCGCTCGGCATATAGCAAGGACTCGACAAATATGAAGCACAGACCCATCCACACTACTCGCGATTCGACAAGTGGTCGCTCGCTACTCGCCGAATACCGAATGTGTGGAGACGCATTCACGTGAATCGCCCTTTCTATACCCTGTTTTGCACGGTCATTGTTTCATCCTTTTTCATCATTTTTCTGTGCAGAAAGGGGATGGGAAAAGGATGTTCGTTTCTACGCGTAATGTTTCGGTGCCGATCCTGGTTGGCCAGCATTTTACACGGTCTTTTGTGGTCTGTACGTAATCGTGATGACTGTACTTCCTCCGGACGCCGCCAGAGGCGCTGAAAATAAAACATTTGAACATGGCATCTATGTTAAATTAAGTTAGGTTATTGTACGATTGAGCACGAAACACAACAGCATTGGAAGCAAGCAATTTAAGTGTAATCATTTCTTTGTGAAAGTGGCTATCTTTCGAACTAGAAATAAAAATTTGGAAATATTATTCTGCCTTAAAGGTTGCAAACGTAGGCTTGCGCGCACAGAGTCATGATCTGGGCTGTCCGGATGTCACCGCCTCGAGGGTAGTGATACCGATATTTTGCCCATGATATCGTGGAGAGCTCTACCCTCGCACTCTAGCCCTGAGGAAGACCACTGTACGTATGATGGTGTCGAAACGCCGGCCTCACTGCCATCGTCGCGGCGTCACCCGGGCAGCCCAGAGCCTTCACGTGATTACACGGTGAGTTGAAGAAATCAAAAACGTTCGATGACCACGAGCTTCAAATTTTAAAGAGCCAACAAAGAGGTTCTAAGTTCTGGACATGGAAAAGCTTTTCCTTACATTAACAATTGAAGATCACTACAGTGATTGCAGAGGTTACGGACAAGAAACTTTTATGCATGGAAAATTGTACTGCTTATGTCTTTAGAACAGTTTCCCGCCATCAATTCAAAACCCCAAAAAATTGTAACCTAGAACCTTTTTGTTTGCTCCGACATGTTACAGACATATTATCTGACGCTTCTAAGTAGTTATTTAGAAAATGGAATATGAGTTGTTTTCTACTCCTGTGCCAATGCAACTAACGTAAAATAAAAAAATATATAAATTTGACAAATAATAATTTAGAACTACTATATTGCATGAAGCATCAATGGATTATTTTTACTAGGAACATTTGCTCTAAAAAACAATCATTATCGCATGGAATTAAAAAATGTTGTTCATGACCTTTGAAGATTCAAGAAATATTTCACTCATGAAAGCTTGAGAAGAAAGAATTCTGTATTTGCATGCAAACTTTTATCCGGGTTCAGACACCCTGGGTGTCTGTCATATAAAATCAAATTCCAATAACAAAACTTTCGAAATATTGAATAGTGTTACTTATAAAACCTGTTTTTAAAATTCAACTTGACACTTTTATCCTCTAAGTTAAAAGTTTCTTCCCGCTTATTATTTAGAGTGTGTCAATTTTGCTTCGTCTCTAAAAACCTAAACGTTGTCGATTGCTCCCCATTTACAAATTATTCTAAAGTATTGCAACTGTATTACTTAGGTATCTTCTCGAACTTTTTTACTTCTATACTTGATATACAATTTTAATAACTATATTTCCCAGTTTTTTCCACATCTTTACTCATACAGTAATGAAGGAAAATATTTTTCATTTCTATTCGGGAAGCGTACGTTTTTCTTAAAATGCTGCCAGAGTTTATTTGCATTACAGCACGCTTAACTTCACTTTTTCAAAAATTGCAAGTATTCTTGTGGTTGCAAAAGGGCTCTTGTGTAACAGAACACCGTTTTGTGTGCATTTTCAAGCCTTCTTTGTAAAAATTATTTATTAATAACCCAGGCAATTGGGAATGCATTAAAAGAGCATTTATCACAATAAAAGGGCGCTTTGGCCTGTGGCGAGCGTTTCGCTGCGTTATTGCTGCGTGGTATCTCTTGGTTATCTGCGCGCGCAGAGGCGCGTTGGCGCGGCGGAGGGCGCAAAGGGCCCTTCGCCCTCGGGGGCGGGGGGGGGACGGCTCAGGAAATGAGCAGCCGCCGGCGAAGGGGCGCCGCGCGCGCAGACCTTCATAATTTCCTCCGCCGCGTCCGGCGCAGAGGGCCGGAGGGAGGGAGACGTGCAAGGGGTGGGGGGGGGTGGATAGGGAGTTGTACGCAGCGACATGTTCTCAAAAGATTCATATTGTAATAAAATCTTCGATGTATTTAACAGCGATATTTTGAAGGCGATGTTTTTTAACAACGATGATTTGTGTTAGATGCTTTTTTAACGTCGATGTTTTGTGTTCATGTTTGTGTATGGTAGATATTTATTAAACTGTAACAAAATTCTATAATAATTCTCAGATATCCATAAATTGAATATTCTTCAGGCCAAAGTGTCCAAGGGTTAAAAATAAATAAAATAAAGTTTTCGTCAAATAAGAAGCCTACTTTTTTTCAATTATCGAATGAGATAATTTAAGTATTGTTAATTATCCTGACTACTTTTTAATTTTGCTTTGTTGTATAAATCTCAATTAAAAATTATTATACGAGATTATTTTAAATCCCCCCCACGTTAAATTTAATGACTATTAATCCGATTTTAAGAACTTCGATGTTTAATAACGATGGTTTTCGGTCAATGCTTTATTAACATCGATGTTTCAATTTTGACCATCGATGAGTAGCAACATCGCTGTTGTGTTGTCGATATCGCATCCCTAGTAGGCAGGGGGCGGAGGGGGCGGAGGGT